GCCCCACGGTGTCCATTCCCCGCACTGACCCTGTCCCTATCCCCAGTGTCCATTTCCCCGCACTGTCCCTGCCCCACAGTGTCCATTCCCCGCACTGACCCTGCCCCACGGTGTCCACACGGCCTGTCCGCCCCTCCCGACCCCCGCTGGATTACCCCACCGCAACGGCCACGACCTCGGCGTGTCCCTGCCCCACGGTGTCCATTCCCCGCACTGTCCCTGCCCCGCAGCAGCACGGTCATACAACCAACATCAGGTGCCATTAACCACTCCTGCACAGTCACCACGGTGCACAGATCCTGCTCTGACTGTTTCTCCCTTTGCAGGCCACAGCGACAGACCAGCTGGTTGGATTTGGCTTGGTTGCCTTCAGCCTCATCCTCTTTGTTTACTACACCCTCTGGATCATCATTCTGGTATGGGTCTCCTCTGGCCATTATAATCCAGTCCCTTCACACTCAGGTGTTTCCCTGAGCCATTGCCCAGGTGCTGATGTGTCCATGTGCCCAAAGGACTCTTGCCTTCTGGATTAAAAGTTTCAAGGAAGAGCTTCCTCTGTTTGTTGACACAGCCTTGTCCCATCTGGGTGTGCTTGCCCTTGCCTGGGTGAGACCAAGCATCGATGTGCTGCCCACCTGCTGCTCCAAGACAGGCTGACCCAACCAGGGTGGGATCTGAGCTTGGGGAGAGCTGAAGCCTTGCCCCAATGGAGGTGTGATCATCAGTGTCCGCATCTGCATCCCCCAGATTCCTGGTGGGAGATGACAGAGGGAAACATAAAAAGAGACTAATCTCAACAAATCTGGAGCCTGGAAGGGAGGAGAAGAGTTCAGGGAATGCAGAGCTCTGGAAAACTGATTGTGAGGCTGACAGTTTGCCCACTTCTGAGGACACATCCGCTGAGATCATTAGTGGTTTTCTCCCTGGAAAGAAACTTCTCCTCATGAGCTTTCTAGGTGCAAGAGGCCTGGTTCAGTGCTGGGCTGATGTCTGAACTACCAGCAGCTTCTTCTCTAGCTCTGAGGGTTTTGAATTCCCCTCTTGCATCAGCTCACTCTGCTGCCTGATCCGTGACGGTACTCCAGCAGTCCCAGAGCCATAGATGAGCTCTCTGCTGTGTAGGAATCCTCACACTGCTCTCTAGTGTCCAGAGGCTTCCACTGTTCTGCAGAGGGGGATCCAGGTGGGATCCCCATGGAGCAGAGCCAGTATCAGCTGCTCCCTTCTGCAGGGCAGAGAACCCAGACATTTAGTGTGCCCAGTACTGTCCCCCAGGGCTATGGGACCCCTGTGCCAGCCCCAGTAGACACCACTTGTTCACTGCCCACCTACTGTCAGCCCCTGCAGCTGTGGCTGAGCCACACACAGGTCTGGACACTGTTTTTAGCCATCTCACACCTGATGTTTCCATCCTGCTTCCCAAAGCTCAAGGCTGCAGGTTCTGGGGACATGCCCTGGTGTGGTGCCCAGCTGCTGACACCCCTCTCTGTCCCTGCAGCCCTTCATTGACAGTGACCATGGGATCCACCAGTACTTCTTGCCTCGGGAGTATGCAGTTATCATCCCCGTGGTGGCTGGGCTGCTGCTGCTGCTATTTATAGGTGAGAGTTATCTCTGTCTTTCTAATTAGAAACGTCTAAATTAGGAAGAGAGAAGAGGGTTGCTAAGGGCTTAGCTAATGGGTGACACTTGTGACACTCTGCCTGTGGCTACTGCTGTAGCTTAGCCTGGAGCAGGGACTCAGGGGTGTGTGTGTGACTTTGGCCGTTTGAGCCTCTGGACACAGAATTTTCCTGCTCTCTCTGCTGAGGTTCAGTTTGTCACTCCTCCGGGTGTTTTAGAAGTGCCTGGAATTACAAGTTTTCCGTCTGAATCTGTTCTCTCTCGTGGCAGGTGTTTTTATAATGGTTGTGACGTGGAAGAGCAGGAACCCTGCCAAGAAATCTGACTGAAGGCTCAGCTGAGGATATGAGTAGAAGGTGCCCACCCTACAGCATCGTAGCCAGGAAAAGACTTCTCCTGCAGCTCCAGGCAGACACCTCCTCCAGGGTGCCCAGCATCACGCTGCTCCCATGTTCCTTCCTGCAGAGACTAAACCTTCTGTAGTTTACAACTTACTGACCAAAGGGAATCAGGACTCATCCAAGGCTCATCAAGTGAGGGACCAGAGCCCCTGCTGAGGACCTGCTCCCCAGCTGGGGCTCCCCCTGCCAGCCAAGCTCCAGCCCTGGCCCGGCTGCTCAGCCTCTGGGTACTCCTTCCCCTCTGCTATGGCTCTGCCCAGTAGTTTGTTCCTTTTGGAGTTTTTTAAACGTTTACATACGGTTTGTGGGGGCGTTTGGACTAAAGTTTAAGAGGAAAGAAATGAGACTTTGGGCTTGGAAAGGACAGGTTTGTGTTCATTTACCTGCTGGAAGGGCAAATTACAGTGCTGGCAGCTCTTACCTCTCTGAAGAGGGACCCCTGTGAGGCCAGGTGTGCAGAAGGTGCAGGGACAGTGCCAGTGCTGCCCTCTGTGTCCCCTCCTGCAGTCACTCAGCTGAGGAGGTGGTGAGGTGTCCTGGGTCACAAGGAAGTGTTTGGGTGTGGTTCCCATCACAACTGGCTGTGTTCCAGTCCCGGACAAGGATCCGTGTGCGGCTGGGCTGGGGCTGAGCAGGCAGGTGTGGTGGCACCTTCCTTCCCTGTGGACATTTCCTCTTCTGCTGTCCCAGCAGCTCCCTCTGGACCATGGTGAGCAGGATCACCCTCAATAAAGGTCTGCAAGGTCTCAGTCCCTGTCCTCTGCCTGCGCCAAGGGGTCCACAGCCCTGCTGGGATGGGTTCTGCAGCGTGGCAGTGCCTGACACCCTGATGGGAAGTTTCTGCCAGTGGGAAGCACCAGAGAGAGCTTGGCCCAGCCTAGGCCACATATTCCCAGCCTTGTGCTGGCCCTGCTGTGCTGGGAGACTGCTGTGCCCTGCCTGGGGTAGCTCCAGCAAAAGGAGGGTAGATCTGGGATACTCTGATCCTTCTCATGTGTAGTACTGTGAATTTCCTGCCAGACAGGTGCATGTCTCATTGTCTCCCACCCTGCTGTGTCTCGAATGACACAGGTCTTGGGCTGAACCTGGCTGGAGGAGCCAGTGAAGGGTGCAGGGGGGGGAGCCAGTGAAGGGTCCAGAGAGGAGGCTCCAGCTGGCTGCTTGTTTCCAGCTCCTGCAGAGGCTGCTGGGCCATGCCAGGCTGTCTCTGTGCCCTCCCTGAAATCGAGTCGTCCATCCACCTGTTCTTCCTTGCTTGTGTCCTGCTGCTGCCACTCCTGCCACTGAGGAGCCCCTTGCTGTCCTTCCCAGCCCCTCATCTGGTGGCCAGGGCTCAGCCCACCCCACAAGGATGGGTTTGGGCACACAGGGGGAGGCAAAGAGAGGAGAATTTGCTGGTGTCTGAGCAGCTCCAGGTGTGCCCTGAGCAGGAAGCACTGCTGTTCTTATTTCCCTGAACGCTCCTCTCCATCCAGGCGTGTGCAGAACAGGGTTGGGACCGGTTTCCGGGTAACTTCTCATGTTTCTTTATCAGCACTGGGAGAGATTAAAATCCAGTGTCCTTGGGCCAGCGAGAGGCAGACAGCTCACTCTGAGGACACCTCACAGGTGCTCTGCAACTTCACCCTGGCAAGAGGGGCCGCGGGTGACAGCCCCTGGGGCCACCGAGTGGGGGTCTGGGGTTCACCTGTCCCAGCCCAGCTCCTGAGCCATTCCGGATCACCAGTGTCCAGCGTGGCTGGGAGCTGGTGATGCACCGAGGTGAGAGAGGGCAGGGGACAGGGCGGCGGGAGGGGAGACTGGGAG